AGTAGCCAAATTGCTCACTCATAGCTTTAATGCCAGTCGCTCACAAAGGAGCATCCCGGGATGTGATATCAGAGTCATGTGACAGGAAGAGGGGGAGCTGGATAATAACCAACAGACCAAAAGGGCCAAGGACAAGAAACAAAAAACAGTCATGAAGAGGTCCCGGTGATGTCAGGGGGTGTGGCCTTATGACACGCTTCCGGTGATGTCAGGGTGTTTGGCATATGCTAATGAGTTATGCTAATGAGCTCCGGCAGCTCTTTTTCTACAAAAAGACCCCTGATTAGAACCCTTGCTAGAGTGCACAGGAATGGCCTTCCCTCTAAAATCGTCCATCATCTCCCGTTATTTTCTGTTTCTGAGCTGAATATGTGATGAAAGACTGGGCAGAACACACAAAATAGAGGTGCCTCTGTCAGTCTGAGCTCATCAAAATATATGACCTGCTTGGAAGACGAAGGCCCAAGAGCCCAAGGCAAGCAAAAGAGAGATCTGATCCGCTTTTGCTCCTTCTGCTTTGCCCCACAATGTCTCCCAGCTTCAAAGTCAATGTCTGAAACAAGCAAGCAAACAAACAAAGCCTGCAGCTTAATAGTACTCTCCAGAAAAAACCCCGAAGGATTCAAAAGTGTCCACTGAAACCAAAGCCTGACATCCAGAAAAAACAGAGTCTACATCCACTGGCTGAAGCTGGTTGCAGAGTAAACAGATATAGCATACAGAAAGCAGAGTTTAATTGGGAAAGAGGAGAGGAACTAATGTTTAGTACTTGCCTCTAGTTAAGTCAGCTACTTGCTTTCTGCTTTTGTTTACACAGCCTCAGTCATCTGGTAACACTTCCTAAATGTTATTACACTACAAGTCTTAACTTTTGGTAGCAAAGATAAGCAAGCCATTTTTTAAAAAAGATTATACTTCTAACACTGAACACACACAAGCACGACATTTCAAAGGCCTTTTAGTTTGTGTTCACACTTAGTTCTTCAAACTCAGTCCTCTGGAAAATTTCAATTTAGATTAGTACTTGGAGCACTTCACTGGAAGTTTAAAAACACAGACAGAAAGAGCCATAAATTCACCACAGCTACAGTAAGGCCACACTGGGATCTCAGCCAGAACAATATGAAAGAGGAGGGACCGCATTACAATCCCCTCCCCCACCCTACCAGACAAATCTCTGTGTTTCACAGAAACATGTCAACCTACATGATTTAATGTTACATGCCTTATTTAAACCAGCACAGAAATAGCATGAGGACATCTTCCAAAGCTCTTTCAAGCACTGCATGCTAAAAGGCTTGTTTACCCTTCTGACTGGAAGCACAACTAGCCATAAATGGCTGTGGGTAGGGATAAAGGAAAACACCCTTTCCATTTCTAACTATATTAGTAAAGCTTGATGTACCGCAAATACTTCTCCCCGATGGTAACTGCATGCAATAAGAGATTCTCTTTTTAAAAGAAATATGCTAGTCCCTATTGTTGCTGAAAACATATGCTGAAGAACCAACATGACCACAGGCAAGACCTCCACTGAACAGAATGCAAAGCACACTCCTACAATCTCTTTGTAGCTGCTACTCCCTATTTTGGCCAATATTTCCCATTTCCTAGAAAGCACTGAAATTCTCTAAATGCTCTGAAAATCCATGGACTGAAAAAGCTCACAGGATAAGTAGAAGTTATAAACATAACTTAATACATATATACCTTGAGATTAGAAACAAGATTAAAATGTACATTTTGAAATACTGAGGATTCTGAAGATGACAAAGATTTACTAATTGACCTACATTGCCAATAAACCCTGGTCCATATCCCTGACTATTCAATGTGATGGCTCACAGCTGCATTGAAATTCATTTCATTTCAGGCAGTAGCTGGTGACATTTGGAAATTTTCTGTAGAGTGTTAGATCTGTGATACCTTATTTGCACATGTTACAGTCATCAAGTTATGAATATACATATTTGAATCACTCAAAAACACATTCCAATCTTTTTCAGGAATTTGATCTATGAGAACTGAGCTTCTTGTTTATCCAAATAATGGAAAATGCACTACAGTACAGATAATTGTTTTTGAAATTATTTTGGGAATCTACTAAATTCAACTACACATCTTTTTAAGTCAACCTAAAAGATTAGCACCTTAATTGGCAGCTCTCATCTCAAATATGAGAAAATGGAAAGCAGAGAGAACAAGCAGACAAGGATAATAACCAATCAGAAATATAACAAATAGAACATGAGCTACTAGAGAACAACCTGCCTGAGCACAATGATTGCTGAACAGGAAGATCTCCTTGATGTATCAGCACTTGTCTGTTGCTGCATGAGTTCTGGCAAGCCCAGGCTGTCAGAATCCAAGACCTGACTTGGCTTAGCTAAGACCTTTTTGGACAACTGAGAGACAGAACTTAAACGGAGCTGTTCCTCCTTCCTTCCTTCTTTCTGTATGTGTCTGTCTGTCCGTCTGTCTCTCTGTGAGAACATGACCAGGCAAAAGACAGCATCCTCCTTACACATACTCCTATTTGCATCCTCCAAAAGCAAGGAGAGATCAGACATTTAGATACTGTAAGTGGCAAGTTCACTTAGAAGTCTTTCTCTGTTTCATTTCTTTTATTGGTTTCTGCACCATAGTGCTGTAGTTTGTATATACTCTAGAGGTGAGACAGTAGAGTAAAGCTTGTCTTTGTTTAAGATACAAAAAGACTGACTGGCTTTCTATACGCAAGCCTTAGTTGTGGTCAACTCAATGTTACCAAAGAGCCCTGTTTGATGGTCCTCCTACCATTAAACTAGAAAGGGGGGTAACCAGACGGTGGTGACAAGTGATAAGGGAAAGGACCCCCTCCCAATCTCTTAGAAGAGGGTGGGAGCTGTAAGGGATTCTTACTGAGAAGAGTAGCTTTCCCTCAGACAAAATGACTTTCCCATGGTTTATGATAATGGCCTGTCAGATCCTAGGTGTCAAGCCCAGGGCCGGTCCTTGTCGGAGGCGGGCTATCCGCCGTGCTGAAGGAAAAGGGCCTGGTGACTTGGGGAATGCGAAAGCCTCAGATTAGGTGGGGCCTGGGGTTACATCACCACCAGAACACACCAGCCTCGGAGTCAATGGCCTGTTTGCTTCCCTCTCTCTGTTCTGTCCTGGCCTCTGCTCCGTCACATCCTCCCCGGCTCTCACTGACTTCCCCTCTTTTATACCCTTCTCCCCTTCTGTGCTCCTCCTCCCTCCCCATCTATGTGTGTTATTGCTTCCCTTACTTGTCTGTCCCCCATACTCCTTTCCCATTGGTGAATCTCCCCCTCCATGTTCCTGCCTCCTGCTCAGTCTGTCCCTCCTCTCCCTTTTGGCTCTGCCCTCACTAGCCTGTCTCCATATGGGAGTGGCTGCTTCCCGTGGCCTTGGCAGCCCTGCTCCCTTCCCCCAACCCAGTAAGCTGGGCATCTTCGGCCCTCGGGCCTTGTAGTCAGGGAGAATCCCTCGTAGTCGCGTCTGAGCTGCCCCATTGGCTGGCCTGGGAGGTGGTTGCTGGACGGGTCTGGCCGGCTCCATCATCGTTTCCACCCCCAGCATCCCCTGCTCGATCTCCAGTGGTCCCTGCGCCCTGCTTCGCATCAGCGCTCTCCTCAGGGGCCCCGGCCATGGTGTCTGTCCCCATCCCCAGACCTGCGGCACGGAGGCCCTCCAAGGCAGGCTGCCCCTCTGTGGAGGCAGGGGTTACGGGGGCGTCGGGGCTCTCCTGCAGGGTCGTGCTGAGGCCTGTGGGTCAGCTCCAGCTGGCCCTAGGCCTGAGTTGCCGCCATTGACCTCCCCACCACCAGCCCGTCTAGGCCCAACGCGGAGGCCGCCAGGCCCACAGCGGGACACAAGGGCAGAAACATTATGGGTGTACGCTGAAGTTTGTATTTCTTATATGTCACTATGAAATTACGTAGCCATACATCAAGCATTAATCATTTGGACTACAAAACAGTGTAACGGGGAATTAGGGAGCTAATTCACTGACCACTTACATAAAATCCAAAACAAATGGAAAGGGGGTTGCCTATCTTGACCATCAATGCAAGCTGTCTTCTGTCACTACAGCTGCATAGTTTTTTGTAGCTTTCACGAAAGAAATTCATATAGGATTATAAGAATGGGTACATAACATACATCAGGTAAAACAATAGCCACCAAAAAATGTAAGGGGAAAATTGATCAATTTCAGTTGTTGACTCTTAGCAGCATTTCACTGTAGTGAACTCACAGATCTTAAAACAGAGCATTCTTAAACTACGAGATAAATCCAGGTATCTTTTTGGAAATCAAATAAGAATTTAATATACATATAAAAATAAAACGTATTAAAGGGTTTTGCTGCCCCTTTTGATGCTACAGTTCCAAGCATGCAACTAGAACAGGTATAAATATATATTTTGCAATTAAGTTAAGGGCATTCGTCATGTCAAAGGTATGTGTTCCATACAGATGCATGCATTTAACATACCCATTTCCCTCCCCATTTATGAAATAATAAATACATTATTTCATAACAATCACTAAAGAGTGTTTCTGTTGTTCTTTCCAGGTTATTCAAGCAGACAGCTTATTATAAAAACATGCACGAAGGTGCACAGACATTGTACAGGCAGTGAACAAAACAGATTTCTCTTACTGAGATTCTGCGTGATGTTATTATATGCCCCAGTACTGCAATGTGTAAGACAGTTTTAATATGCAATGTTAGGGTCACACTGAATGGTCATTACATAGATATGCTGAACATGCCCATTTTTGTACCCAAGAAACATAATCGGCATAGACTACTAATGCCCAGGAAGGAACTGAAACAGCAATCACAAGTTTCTGTCTCGACCACAATTCATCAGATTTTCTCTGGCAGAAAAATACTTGACAGAGGGCACAGGAGGGGATGGAAATGGCTCTCTGAAAGCTGCAGATATATACACATCAGTTACATAATATTACTCAGCAAGAATGGAACTCACCATGTAAAAAGTCATATGAACAATTCACAACAGTCATCTCAGACATCCACATAACTGGAATCTCTTTGGGTTTGGCACTGCCCACAACCACCAAGTCAGCATCGTGAAGCTAAAGGGCAAATGGGGAGGGGGGAAATATACAATAAAAGATAAAAATCAGCATATATTCCCAAATGAATGTACAACATACGAAAGTCCCTGCCACACGGAGGGAAAGGAACGGGCGAAAGTGCGGCTTTATCTGAGCATGCGCAGTTCAGCCAGGAGCCGGGGATGCGCTGGCAGAAGGACGCACCGGCGATCCCACGGCCGGCCTTGATGCGGCCGCGCTGGAAGAACCATCTCGGTAGGTGGTGTATTTTTGCTGCGCCTTTTCGGGGGTTGGGACGGATCGAGGATGGGTGTGCACCACTTCCCAGATGTTGCGATGAGATCGTGCCCATTTGCTGCGCCCCCAATCCGTCCCTCTCCCGGGCCAAACCTTTATGTGTGACCGGGGCCAATGTTGATTTTTAATCTCCTTAATCCACATTAATCAGAAAAAAGGTTCAAATGAAGAAACTATACATACATAAGTATTACCAGACAAAGAATCCCAATAAAAAAGATCTTTTTGTGTTTTACCAAACAAATCTTGCAATGCTCAAGAAGGGGGGGAAAAACCCTAAGAGGCCAAATGAAACAGAAATTAAGTGACATGCTATTGGTATAGTGGACATGTAGTAACAAACCATAATTTGTTGTTTTAGGAATGATCTTTGGGAGTGATCTTCAGGTTCATGCATCCCTCCCCCCCAAAAAAACTAGGTGCATGGCTCAGAAAGTAATCATTTCCACTTTCATGTCAAACTCTGGTTTGGGGTTATGGCTAGGCTACAAACTATGGTTGGTTTTCTTTCCTACAAACCAGGCTTTCAAAACAGTCTGTTTTAAGATGTTGGCTCTGGAGTTGTTTTCCTCCGTGATATAATTAGAAATGGGCAGTTGGGGAAAGCATCCTTGGTAACATTAAATTGGTTGGACTTGGAGCGTTTTGTTCCCATGCTGTACAGTCGGGGTTGGGGATGTATAATTGGAAAAACGGTGAGAGAACAACAAACTCATATGTGCAGTTATTTCATTTATGCCCAAAACTTGTGCTAACACTTTAATGAATCTGCTGAATGTTTATTTCATTATAGTGGGAGAGAATCACAGAATCATAGAGTTGGAAGGGACCTCCAGGGTCATCTAGTCCAGCCCCAAAGAAGATATGCACAGCAAACCAATGATGGAGATGGAAAAGGAGTATTCCTATTCCACTGAAATGTTTAATGTAATTTATGAAATGTTTTTATAGAACCATTGTGGTTTAGTGGTTAGTGTGTCAGACTAGGATCTGGGAGACCCGTGTTCAAATCCTCACTCTGCCATGGAAGCTTGCAGGGTGACCTTGGGCCAGTCATACCCTCTCAACCTAACCTACCTCACACAGTTGTTGTGAAGACAAAGTAGAGGAGAGGAGAACGATGTAAGTCACTTTGGGTTCCCATTGGGGAGAAAGACATGATATAAATGAAGCAATAAACATTTACTTAAACAAAGCACTGATATTAATGCTAACTTTATAATTTCCTCTTGCGTGACTCTGATCCTCTGTGGTTGAGGAGGGGGTTGCTTGTTTCAAAAAATATTTGCACATTATTGTGAATGTTTTAGCCTAGCATAAACTTTGCTCTAGTCACATTTTTCACTGTTGACACAATCCAAGGGGAAATTCTTCCCTGTACTTTCCCTCCCTCCATTTTCACAGTGCTTGAGTAGGTGAAGTCTTTGTTGGATACTCTTCTGTTTTAATACCCTTCTATATCCATGTCGTATTGAAGTACAGTTAGTTTGTAAAATGAAAAAAAAAATCAAAAACTTAAGCAAGGGCCAGGCGGGTGGTATAGTGGACAGAGTGGCAGACTAAGACCTCGGGTGATCCAGGTTTGAATCCCCACTTCTACCATGGAAGCTCACTGGGTGACTTTGGGCCCATCACAGTCTCTCAGCCTGGCCTACCTCACAGAATTGTCATTGTGAGAAAATGGAGGAGGGGAAAGCGACGTTCTAAGCTGCTTTGAGCCCCAAGTGGGGAGGAAAATGGAATATGAATACATGCAAACACAAAAAAACAAGCAACAGACATGGATACAGAATCCAAAAGAAAAACATGTCATCGAGTTACAACCAACTCATTATGACCCCCACCCACGGGGCGTTCCAGGCAAGAGATGTTCAGAGGTGGCCTGACATTGCTTTCCTCAGCATAGCACACTCAGTCTTCCTTGGTGGTCTCCCATCCAAAAACTAACCATGGCTGACCCTGCTTAACTTCCAAACTCTGACAAACTTGAGCTAAGCCGGGTTAACACTGCAAAATTATCCTAAATGGGTCGTAATAACTTCTACTGCAAGATGACACCATGCCAGCAATAAAATTAATCATCTGTTTGCATCCCACAGAGGATGTGTGCAAGATCAGACCTTAACATTATGGCTGAAAGAATCTATTTTCTACCCTTCTATTATTTTAAAGTTTGTAAAATCCAGCCTGATGATGATATCTGGTGAGCTCAAAAGCTTATACAATGTTTTGTGTCAATCTGGTTGGTCCTAATGAAAGGTATTATTACATAGATTTTGTCATCGCCGTAAGCCACCTTGACCATTTATTTTTAAATTGAAAGGCAGAATTACTCTACTAAATAAATTATAGGATTTCTCAGATTTCATCTTCATTCTACCTTCACTCTACCCATTTCCTTTCTGTTGCTGTCCTTTCCTTGCTCAACATGGCATATGATCATGTTAGTTTTATACCAATTTACCTGTTTGGCTTACACTAAAGAGTACTAGAAATATTGTAGGTTAGTGAAGGTGCTGCTGAGATTCCTAACAGTAGAATTCAAAGAAGTTCTAAAAGGGCCCTAATTTAAGAATGTGGTGTAGATATGCTATTATCATTTCTTCAACTTTATCCATGTGCTTTGTATTTTGGCAAGGTGATATGGACATTCCATGGAATATGCTGTTAAGATCTGTCTGACACTGCTAAGTCTTTTCAGCACGAAAAGTTTTAAAAATCGCTGGCATAGTGCACTATGTGACATCACATTTCTGGTGATTCCTAGAGTGGCGTGAAATCACTTCTGGTTTCTCCCAGAAGTAACATCACATCACACATGACACCGGCAGCAGCCCCCATGCCCTCCCATTGGGAACCAACCATTGGTTGGCAACCCTTGTTATGACCCTTGTAGAGCTACATTTTTGCTTGCCCCCTTCCATGAGACATACTTGTGTTCACTTAAAGAATAAACTCTAATCCTAACTGGAAGGATTGTTGGCAAACTAATGCAAAGGCTACTCTACTTCCTGACAGCACTCCATGCAGATGCGTGAACAAGAATACATCTATCTATATATAAAAGAACTAGCCTGATACCCATGCTTCGCTACGGTATTTAACTTCTGTAAATCCAGTTATAATACTGATGATGTAAAGTTTGAAATGTAACATTCGTTGTAGGAATTCTAATGGAGAAGATTGTAGTGTAAAAAATGAAGTGAGACATACATACTTTTTTTTCTCTACTGAAGGACCTCTCTGTAGACTGCTGGGGTGGGCTCCCTCATGGCTTTAAGCACCCTGCAGTTGCCTGTCAGGTGTAGGAGAGGAGGTGGGATGCTTACAGCAACCAGGGAGGTTTGCTCAGCAAGATTGCCTTAGCCCTGCTGCTGGCTCAGCCTCCGCGATGCCTTTAAATACAATCCCCCCAACACCAGACAGGTGTGTGTCTGTCAGGTGTAGGAGCAGGGCCAGGATACTTTAATCCATTAGGGACGCCGCCCCAGTAGGATCACCTTAGCAGTGCTGCTGGCCCGGCTTAGTCACACTCACACCCACAATGGAAATATACTCCAAATTTGTAGAAAACTGGTTTCCTTTATTAGGTTATTTAACTTCTTACAATGTGGGTTCTAGAAAACTGGTTCATATGAACTTGCTTAATATCTGATTGCTCGGATGGTGTTTTGAATATGTAGTTATGTCCCAGTTCTAAAATGTAATATAAATGAGAAGGATTTTTGTAAAAAAAAAAGGGGGGGTATGCCCTCCCCCCAAATTCAATGCCCAGGCCAAACCCCTGCACCAAGAAACCCAAAATAAGGGGAGTGCATTCCTACCATGATATCAAAACCTCCCCCAATGAAGAGATTTCTGAAAAACATGAGCCCTGCTTCTTAAATGATGACTGCTTCTTAAATGGACAGTTCTATGTGGCCTGCTCCAGAGTGAGCTCATCAAGCAGCCTGGTGATCCTAGCACCTGAGGGTAGAACCACCAATGTGGTCTAGAGAGAGGTCCTTCAGCAGAGGGGGGGGGGAGTATGTATGTCTCACTTCATTTCTTACACTACAATCTTCTCTGTTAGAATTCCTACAACAAATGTCACATTTCAAATTTCACATCATCAGTATTATAACTGGATTTACGGAACTTAAATACTGTAGTGAAGCACGGGTAGCAGGCTAGTATTCAATAAAAGCTAATGTGCAACAAGAAGCCTCTTTAGATAAACTATTCATTATCTGGCAGAAAGTAGAAAAAATCTGAAATGACAACTACACAAATCTCACTTTCAGATATTCGTCATTTGTTTTGGTTATGTTTGGGAAATAGTTTACAAAATGATCACAATACTTTTACTCAGAAGACCCTGAATGAGCTGCCCAATAAACTAGTCTATTATATAAAAAACTATGTCAGAAGTGAATGGGATAATTAAACAATCAAGTTCACTCCCTTGAAAACACTCCATACGGCTTCCAAATGGACAGGATACCTGATGCAGAACAGATACTTCAGGTAATTGCAGCCAAATGTTATAAGAAGATACAGAGCTCACATGCACCCAAAGTTTAACTAGCTGTGTGTTGTACAATGTGTTTCAAAAGCCATTAATGAGATCACACTGCAAAGAATGAAATAAAAAAGCCACATGAAACAAACTACAACTTAAGCAACATCTTAGGAACAGAGCCGATAGCGTTCTCCATAAGCTCAAGCCTCTTTCTGCTACT